TAACTTCCTTCAAAGTCATTCATTTGGGAAGCTGAACACGGTATAACAAACTACAGGATTCAAGCTTTCTAAAGAGCACCAAAACGTTCCTGAAAAGTCAGCAGTTCAAAAATTAGTCCCGTTGTTACTTTTTTTGAGGGGTATTCTTCAAGCCATTTTCCCGAAAACGCGGGTTTTCTTAGGTTTCACTGCCCGTAACTTCTTGGAAGACCAATGTCATGTTTAACTTAGGATGTGCTAGAAAGCTTCGAGCATGCGCTTGCACTACATCCCTTGCCTTGGTGCGCGCCACGCCTCGGGCGCCCTTCTAATTCGCTGATTCATTTGAAAGCTCATTTAGAGGGAAGCGTGGTTTATAGATGCTCTAGTATCAGTCATCTTACGAAAACGTAACGTGCTGGCTATTATCCGATATTACCAAGAATCCCACTGTCGGCCACCGAGAGGGTACGACCCCCCTCCAAGCTCAACTGAGTACGACCCCCCGTTGTTACTCGTAACAACGTAGGGTTGACCCTGCTCGGGGTCGTATGTAGGAACCCTCCAACGCTGATAGTGGCGCCGAGGAGTCGTGAAATTAATAAAAAAAAGTGCGAACGCGACAATTGACCCTGGGTCGCCGAGGTTTCAGCAAATTGGGGCAGAGGTGCTAATACTGAGCGATGACGAAGGAAACATGGAAAATGGGAACATGCAGCCACGTTGTGATGTAATTAGATCCACTCTCTTTTGTCTCTTATGTACGAGCCCATTAAGAAAATGGGGCACTCCTCCAATGGAGGGACATCCCGCTGCGAAAAGCCGAGGACATTAAGTTCTTTTTGAATTTCATTTTTTTTCGCGCATAGAATTGGGTCACGTAGCCCGAAATTTCCTGCTGCACGAACTATTGCACCAAGATGTCCCTCCCCTCCAAGCATCTGTAGTAATATTGGAGAGGTACAGAAGCTCGTCAGACGTTACTCGCAGCATGCGCATTTGCTGGGTAGACAGACCTGCTGCCCCTCCGAGAAGGCGTTTGCGAATTCGTCATAGTCTCGAGGGAGTTCGTATTGACATCTTTAACGATTGCGAATAACAGTTTCCAGAGAAAAATCAACGAATAAATGAATGGTTTAGATGAACCCCGTGTAACTAGCATGATGCAGACACGCGCGGTCGCGAAGCGGATGACCGCATTTCTATCACATTGTCGTAGGCGATGTTGCTGGGAAAAAAGGAGAACGATATGAGTCGTGTTTGCCATCCCAATAGCGTATGATTAGAAGAGGTTGTGACTGGATAAGTTTAAGGTACACCACTCACAGATCTCTTTCAATGATGAATTGAGTTTGAGTTATGTAGTTGCCGGGTGAGCTAAATTTCGTGGTTTAGACCACTCAATTTGCAAGCTCAAAATTCAACACTTTTTCAGTCCTTGACTCCTGGCGCATCGTTCAAACTCCGCGACTCGCTGGATTCACCAAGTCTGGTACTAACCATGATATGTTGCGGACCACAGGGTTGAGGAGCGGCTCACAGATCATTAATTTCAATACGTAACGGACGAGAGCAGTACTGCGTAAGCGAGCCCGTGCCAAGAGCGGCTTTGTTCGCGCCTCTCGCGTGTGCGCCACATGGTGGTGCACGCACAGTACCTCGCGTGCGCCACAGCAAACAATTAGGAAGGAGAGCGTAGTTCCGTCTGCACTGCTTTTATGAACGTCTAATAGGTAAAACCTCGTAGGCAGATTTTTCTCCACTGGTCTGATAATCCAAGAAATCCAGTAAGCTTGGATGTCCGTTAAGCCGGCACATGTAGAGTTTCTTTGATACATATATATGGTCTCCATGCGATTGATCGTTATAGGCTGGATTTTATTGTTTTTTTTTTATGTATCTTTGTGTGTTCTTTTCTACTCGTTGTTTTCTTCGGCGTAGTGGTTTTGGCTTTTCTTTTTGTAGTACTGCTCAATATCACGCAGTCTCTGCGTCCAGAATTAAATAAATAAACAAATAAAATTGTGTTTTTGTCAAAATATGAAAAGTGATATGTACTGATACCATCAAATACCATCCAAACGGAGGAAAATCAAACACTAAGCACGCGGTGCGGGTCGCGTGACGGCAGAACTGCTTGGGATGGTGGCGATGCAGGATCATAGTAACATCGTTGGTTGACGGTTCTTCAACACCTTCACTGATTTCGCATTCTCGCAGGACACACCGCAATGAAACATGTTTATGCTATTGTGCAAGTTTTAGACGAAACACTGTCTAATGGTTGTATAATAAGCTGCCGTGTTTCGGAGTAAGCCATGCCCGTCCTCGAGTTCTTCATAGCCGTCAATGGAATTCTTGTTGACATCTAGAATGAATTACGAATGATTGAATTTCATGGGAAAACAGCATAAAATGATTGTGCAGCTCTGATGCCATTGACGCGTGCGGTCGCGAAGCGGTTGCATGCATGCATTGCATGTCTACCAAAAGGATCACGTAGATTACAACCATACTAAAGAGATAGAAAAGTTTTGAGGTTTGTTAGCAATGATGATGAATCTTAGCTCTCTGCTCGCACCACCGCAGGGTACCCCCCAGGAGGCCCGTCGCGCGGCAAGAAGGCAAAGTCAGCGGACGAGTCGCGCGCGTACTATAGGGATTTCGCGTCAAGTTAAATAGAGTGTCCCATTGCACGTCCTACATCGCACACCACGCGCTGCAACTCGTCCGCCGACTCTGCCTTCTTGCCGCGCGACGGGCCTCCTGGGGGTACCCACCACCGCACGCTTCTCTGGTCACGAGCTGTACAATCAAGATTACCTCGCTCTCGGTCGATGATTTCCCATACGCTCTTCTTTGTACTTTTGAGTAGGAAATAGGTTTCCACTTCTCCCTGAACAGGAAAATTGCTGGTGGGTAGCCAATTCTAGTTTTGAACAAAAAGAAACCAACCTTCCCCTTGATATACATGTTTCCCCGGTTGACAAATTCAAATCGTCCGGTAGCAGTAGCAATTTTGTGCGTCTGAAAATTAGAGGGAGAATGAAATATACTCTTTGGCCGCACAGAGACCACAGAGACTCCTCTACGATTCTATCAAGATTGTTTCTCCACGTCACTAATCTCTGAATGGCAGGTGGCACGATAAATTGAATTTTGATGAAGGGGGAATGCGCTCAATATGAGCGTAGGCGGGGACCCTAATGACCTAGGTGGCGAAGTCGAGATGAAAGAGGCACCCACAGCAAAGTAACAAAGCTTCACCCATCGCTCTAAACGCCTTTGCCTCTATTACGACCCACCGATTAGCTATCAGAGCTGATGGCCCCTTGTCGTCGGCTCTAGCCCTTTTTAGCAGGAGGTGAAGTAGAGCGTTCACGCTGATGAGGTCAGCAATGTGACTAAAGTGGGAACAACGGGCAAGGCAAGAGCCTGTCCCGCGTTTCATGCAGTAGTTCCTCAGTTCCTTCATTGCTGCATCTCTTAGCAGCTCTACTCCCATTCCACACGTGGAGTACCAATTTATCGCACCACCTGCCTTAAAGGCACGCTCCGGGATTAGGCGCGCTTGCCTGTTCCATCCCGGGGGTAGTAGACAGGCGGACAAGCGTTGATGTCGCGCCCCTTTTGCCGCTTGAAAGTGCGCGACAAAGGCGCAAGGAGCTCGTCCGACCCGCAACTCACACCTTCGTCCGCAAGCCCCACCCTCCGCTGTCGGTTGCCACGTGGCGCTGCTTGAAAAGCGCGGGCGCATTTGAGGCAGCGGTCCCATTGCGACCCAATGTCATTGGCTGGAGCAACTAGAGTTAGGTTCGTGAAACTCGTCCAACGCGCCCCTTCTCTATCCCAAGGTGGAATGCGGCTGAAATAGGGGAGGTCTCTGTGCGGGGCGTAATCGGTGGTTTCGTTTGCTTTCTCTTCTTTCCACTCCCACCCCTAGCTTCATAACTGAACGCTTTTCCACACCTATTTTATCTCGAATCTGGCCTTTAACAAAGGAGCATTACCTTATCGCTGCAATGGATCTTTCCAGCTTAGGCCATTCAGTTCCATTAATGACGCCGTACTGACAGTGTCGCCGAATAGGCAGTACCTGAAGGAATCTTAATCTTAAAGATTGTCATCTATGAAGTAATGAGAAATCCGATACCTGGGCATTCGCACGGCAACAACGCCGGCCACAAGAGGCCCAGAATGGATTCCGATTCGTACTTGCAGTGGCTTTTTACTAACTGGTTCAGGCACTGATCGCGCTTCCCAGAGCATTCCTGAGGTACAGCATATCACCGAAAGTTTTAAATCTTCAGAAAAAAATGCAATCGAAACATCTCAGTTCCTTCGGGTTTTGTTACGCATTAGGCTTTCTGTCAAAAACCATGGGGCACAGAAGAGAGTGCGTGCCCGGGCGAGAGGCTCTGACGACGATAGCACGAAAAAGAATTGTGCGTATAGTTGCAGAAACCATGCTGATAACAATCACAAGGCTGCTTACAGCGTGAGCTGGCCTTGCGGCGACAGTCACAGGCCTCTGTTGCCACATCTTGGAGCTTTGAAAATATCAAGGGGGTCATGCGTTGGGTAACTGTCAGCGAGAAATGAGAAGAAGCTAAAGACAAAAACATGAACGTAACGAGCTGGAATCCGACGAGCTTCATGATAGAAATCTCGTACCTTCTGGGTCTTGGCTCGAACTGCGTATAATTCTGAGTCTCCTATGAATAACTATACGGTACTATTTTACAGTCGCCTCTATTTGATTAAGACTTGATCAGAGCCTGAATACAGGATAGTCTTTGAACAGCGCTCAAGCAGTGATTGAAATTTTAGAGCGGCTCAGTTATAATCGTGCGTAGCGCCATATGACGCAGTCCGTGACACTATAATAGACAGCCCCACCTCGCCATAGTGATATACGATAAATCCTTACCTATTTCAACATGACAATATCATTTCGGCCTATGTTCGGCGATCTGATCCGGAATACCGCCAACGGTCATGTAGCTGTCACCGACGGTCTCCACTTTGTAGACCTGAATTCATTCCAATTCATTACACAGGCAGGTATTTTTCTGCATAGTTAACTCTGATGAGTTCACATGTAGAAATGCCTTCTTTTGCTGATGGCGAAAATATCGTTCCTGTAAAAAAGGGTTATGAAAAGATCTTCTCATTATATCAGCTTCCCAGTTTAAGATAGTATGAATGCCTCTTAACGTAGGGGGGGCGAGCCCAACACCTTCTCAGCTAGGCCCTACTTCAAACCAGGGTTAGGGCATATGGGACCAAGTGTCAACCGCTGCGCTACGCGGTTCTCAACGGGAATGGGAGGGGGTCATGTTTGTGATTGAAGGTCAAATATTTGTAAAAGGATCGTATTTTTGGAAGTTGAAGGGGTTGTGGTGGCGGAAGAGAACGGTCATGTTCGACGGTTTTTCTGAACGATTTGGTGCAAATCAAGAAAGAAGCGAGAAATAGACAAAAAAGACGCTTCTTTAATGCACATATTCATCATCTATCCCCCCCCTTCCTCGGTTCCACGTCGTTTTGTACCAAAACTCACAGAGTTTGGCGCTGTGTCGCCGTTCTCATAGACTTGTTTGGGGTGAGGAGGCGCGAGCGTGAGGGGGAGGACTGCGGCGGTTCATTCCCGGAGAATAGTGGAATTTTGAAACTGTCACAACATTACGGTTGACCCTGGTTCTGGGCGGCACACCGATGGGCAGCGCCAGCCACGGTAGAGGAAAAAATCCCTCAACAGGGGGTCTCTTCGGGTGGTCAAAACTTCTCAGGCACATTTCAATGTACAACTCAATATCTTTCGTTCTTCACCTGGTGCATAGCCACTAATCGATCGAATCGATGGAAGAGATCGTTGAGCATCTGCACGATATCTTTCGGTTGACTGTGTGGTAGCATCGCTTGGAAGTTCGGCACATCGGCAAACATAACTGTTGCTTGATCGTATTCACCTTATGAAATTAATTTAGATCAATAAATCATTAATATTACTTAGAGGGACTGCATAATGAAAGAGAATAAAATACCCGAGGTGTTTTAATTGGAAGAAAAACTTTTTGAAGAAAGCTTAGGAATCTTTTTTGACTAATTTAGTAGCTGTTGAAATTCTCAGAGTGAAAATCACAAAAATTTGCTGCTAGAGAGCAGCGCTCAGGGCCACCGCCGAAGTGCCTGTTGTTGCTTAAATTGTTCAAAAATTCATTAATTTGTGGAAAACCATGCCCATTTCAAAGCAACTAGGGGGGGGGAGGATTGGACAGAATCACGGCTATACTAACGAGCTTCAATGGGCTCGTCGTTCATGAGCTGATTGACAATCGACGCCGGCAGCATATCTCGGAGTATCAGTTCTGAAATTCGAACATTTTTTAAAAAATCGATACTGTTCAATAGCGATCGATACGCACCGGTTTTGTCCTTCTCTGTCTCTAGATCTTTCGCCATTGTTTTCAGTTGTTCGTTGTTCGCTTCAAGTTGCAAACTGAAATTATTCTGCTCGTTCAGAGTAGGAGTGGGACAAATGTTCCCAATCAGGAAGGACGGTTAAGAGTTTACATCTGTAACGGGTGCAAAAGGCGGAAGTGGTGTAGTGGCAAGTGGCGCGCTTACCACGCGAGCGGTCCGGGGATCAAATCCTGGGTCGTGAGTCGCCCGGGCCAACCAAGCCTTCCATCCCTCCGGGGTCGGTTAATTGGTACCAGACTTGTCTGGGAGGATAAAAACACTGACTTGTACATCGGCTGGCCCCCGCAAGTCATTGTATAGGCCACATCGCATTCAAACGCCACTACGAATGTACAAATGGAAGTAGAATGCGTGCCGCATCCCAAAAAGGGATTGATCAACGGCAAATGCTTTATCCTTTTTATCCTTAAATGCAAAAGTAGGTTAGTTCGTGCGCCGTTGCTGCGCATTTCGGATCTACCCCGTTCAGGCTAAC